AAAATAAGAACGTCTAGACAGGGCATCGGACAAACCTTGTTGTTTTCCTGGCCGATAAGTGATAATGAACTCGAATCTTGACAAAGACATACTCCAACGAGCTTGACGACGATTCAACACGCGTGCTGACATGAAATACTCGAGGTTCTTGTGATCTGTATATACAGTGACTGGACTAGAAGCACCTTCTAGATAATGATGCCATTCTTGAAAGGAATCCACGATTGCAAGAAGTTCTTTATCGTGGATCTCATAATTGATCTCGGCTGCTGAGAATTTTCTTGAATGAAAAGCTATCGGATGAAGTTTGTCATCTGTTCCCATTTGTGATAAAACTACACCCAAGGCAAAATCCAATGCGTCTGTTTCCATAAAAAATACCTTGGAAAAGTCAACACGATATAAGACTGGTGCAGAGACAAACGATGTCTTCAAGGCTTCAAATGCTGCTTCTGCTTCTTGATTCCATTGGAATTTATCTTTACTAGTCAAGCGTGTAAGTGGAGCTGCAACTCGTGAGAAGTCTTTGATGAAGATCCGATAGTAATTGACAAATCCCAAGAAACATTGGACATCTCTCACAGTCTTTGGAATCTTCCAATCCATGATTGTTTGGACTTTCTTAGAATCCATCATAAGACCATCATTTGAAATGATGTATCCTAAAAAGTCAACTTGAGTAGTGTGAAATACACACTTTTCCATCTTGGCGTACAATCCTGCATCTCTAAGTTTTTGTAATACTTGACGAACATGTATTTCATGTTCTTCAACATTCTTAGAATAAATCAGGATATCGTCTAAGTAGCAGACGACAAAATTGTCTAAGAATTCACGAAATACATCATTCATGAGATGTTGAAAAGCAGCTGGTGCATTCGTGAGTCCAAAAGGCATGACATTATATTCAAAATGCCCGTACCTGGTTCGAAACGCAGTCTTCCATTCATCTCCTTGTTTAATCCGTACTAGATTATATGCTCCTTTTAGATCTATTTTTGTATAGATCTTAGCTTGATTTAACTGGTCAAGGAGTCCTGATATCAAAGGTAATGGATACCTGTTCTTGATTGTGATCTTGTTGAGTCCTCGATAGTCAACACACATTCGTAAAGATCCATCTTTTTTCTTTACGAATAAAATTGGAGCTCCTGCTGGAGATTTTGAATGGCGTATGAAATTCTTTGCTAAATTCTCGTCAATATATGTCTTGAGTTCAGCCAACTCATCTTGCGATAAACTGTAAATTGGTCCAAATGGTGGCTGAGTTCCTTCCTTGAGATCGATTGAACAATCGTATGGGCGATGCTCAGGAAGAATATCTGCATTCTTTTTCTCAAAAACGTCTTGATAATCCTGATATTGACTTGGAATGCCACTTGAAGTCTTTACGCTTTCAGAAATAGGTGCAGCATAAATAGCAAAAGTTGATCCTTCTTTTGCTGCGTGTATAAATGCTTTTGCACCTATAGGTGCGAGTTCTACTATACTAGACTCATGGTTTTTTACTTCGTTAATAGAACTGTTAGTAATGCTCTGAGGAAAATCAAGTTTACGAGAAATCCAATCTATTGGAGGATTATACTTTTCTAACCATGATAAGCCTAAAATTACTGGATTAGAGGGAGATCTAATTATATTAAAAATTATGCAACTACTATGACCATTTATTACTACATCTACAGGAAGTGTTTCGTGAGTTACATCTCCAGAAGGCAACGGACGACCATCTATGACTTCTACGTGTACAGGTTTAGTTTTTTGTATTAATGATATTCTATGACATCTAGCAAATTCTTCATCTAAAAAACAAGCTAAGGCTCTTGAATCTATCAAGGCAGAGGCTTTGTAATTATTAGGTCCTAAACGCACATCTATTATAAAACAAGGAGATGGTTCTGAGGAGATGATAGGACCTTTATTAGAAGTTGTACAAGATTCCAGCCGCACGGTCCCTATTGTAGCTGGACGTACTCGTTTTCCGACATACTGTCTTCTTTGACAGCCGTACTCCTCATTTTGTAGTTACGTCGCTTCTTTGGACAATGTTGAGCAGTGTGCTTAGGTTCTCCACAATATAAGCACAATCCTTCTTGTCGACGACGAGACTTTTCTTGCTCAGTAAGAGGTTTGAAACGTACCGCATCAATTTGCATATCCTCTACTTCCGAAGGTATGTGTTGAGGAGACGTCGGTGTTGCCATTGAATTGTAGTAACGTTGAGGCCCACTTGTGCGACTCTCGGATCGAAATTCAAAAAGTCGATTGTCGCACTTCACAGCAAAGTCAATTGCTTGACTCAATGTTTGAAGATCAGGTAAATTAAGCATCAATTTCTTTACCTCATATTGTAATCCGTAGAGAAATTGACTCACAAGTGCGGCATCATCCCACTTGATATCAGTTGCAAGTTATCGAAATTGCGAAGCATATAATGTTACTGATCGATTGCCTTGTCGCAAAATACGGATCTTGTTGGTTGCAACACGAATTGCATCATGTTCTCCAAACATGGATCGAAACTCCGCCAAAAAAGCCTCCAGATTATCCAATATTGGATCTCGTCGTTCAAGAAAAGATGAAAACCATGACAATGCTGAACCTGAAAGAAGTGTACCAATGAATCTTACTTGTGACCCTGGAGTTGGATAGCTCTGGGGTTGAAGTTCAATCACTAGTTGGACCTGATTGATGAATCCTCGAAACTTGGATCTGGTACCATCAAACTTCTCGGGCAAGGCAACTCTCGGTTCTCTAACACTCGAAGGGTGTTCCATTCTGGGAGAAGGGACATGGTTTGGTGCAGATGTTGAAGCAGCCCCAATCATCTCTATATCTTCACTTCCTACCATTCTTGTTGCTCCTTGTGGTGGTAAATTGAGTTGATGCATCGCAAGCATTAACTCCCTCAATTGTTCTTGCATCTGTGCCATTGCACTCTTCATTTCAACAAGCTCTGCCATAGTAGCACTTAGAAAAGAGAAGATGTCTAACAACGCTCAAAACAAATAGAAGAGAGGAATTGATAACAAAGAAAATACTAAGAACAATATCAGTTTAAAAGAGGGTAATCCGCAACTTCTAATGCGCTTATGTCTTATCAAGAAAAAGGGGTAATCCACTCTTAATCAAGAAAAGACAAAGCTCTGATATTGTAAGTGTACTCTTGTCAATCTGTCAAGGACAAGAACTCGATGAAAGCTAAAGAGTAAGTGAGACTTTTCTCAAAAAGAAATAGGACAAAATAGGAATATGTATATTAAGAAAGAAACTGGAATGGCTATTGCCAAAATACAAGAAAACTAGAGACCCTTGAAACTAGACTAGAAGCAAGAAAGGAGTTGACAAGAGTGAAGAGGGCTTCACTCTTGCCTCTATATATACTATCTAACTAGAAGCCACGTGGCGATGTTCTATAAGACCTCCAATATATGTTGACTTTCTAGGCCACATGCCTTTGCTTGCAAGGCAAGTTTTCTATGGATGGACCACGTAGTTAGCTTGTTCTTTAAGCTTCCAACATGCGTGGCACATGGCTAACTTGTTGACGAAGTTTCTAACCTAAAAGTCAACTATAGACTCCTATAAAGTCAAAGCAGCGTCTATGAAGCTTCTAAGAAGCTTCTCTAGAAGATATTACACAATTAACCTACTTTTACATACTTTTATCTATTCATATAGGTAATTATATGTATGTCCGTGACACTTCTTCTTTCTTCAATCATAATATAGACCTTCTAGAGTCAATAGCTCTTTTTAAAATTGTTCACTCACTTTTAAAATTTGCACAAATGCTAGAAACTAAGATTGCTATTAGCATACAAAACAATCATTTCAATTTAATTGGTAGAATACTTATAATTGTAGAAACCCTCATTGCCTTTTAAAACCCATTTTCTAAGATCTTAATTCACTTAAATCTTAATCACTTTTGACCTTCATTCTTTAAGTGTATTGGCTTCAAATTCCAAAATTGTGAGATGATTTGACTACAAAAAACAAAGATTGTCAGATGAAAGAGTAATAAAATTAGAAGATATTAGTTTTCTTTCTACAACCAATATATAATTGATAAGTCTACAAAAAGCATATTGAAATAGTGTTGTGACATTTGTTCGATTAATCCATCTCATTGTGTTTTGGTTGCCTTGAGAGTTGTTAAACTCTAATCATATTATTGCTCATAAGAATTTATATAATTTTTAATTTTTAATATCCAAATATATAATGTGCACCCACATATTTGTTGAATTAATTAAAAATAGATAAAAAATATCATAGTTTGGTTCTTTATTTATTCTTTACAAAAATAATTCTTTTTGTATGTTATTTATTGAGATTATATTATGTTTTAATTTATAAACTTGTATAAATTGTTCTTTTTTCTTTTCTTTTTTTTAAAAAAATAAAAATTAGACTTAATGCAAGTAATTTATTGTTGTTATAAATGTGTTGTAAGGATAATTTTAATTTTTAGAATATGATTCACATGTCACAATAACATGTCACAACAAAAGAAAATTAAAGAAAAATCCAAGCATTTTATAAAATAGTCCAACCATTAAATTTGAAGTCAAAATGCTTCCTTGTAATCCTTCCACACAAGAAAACTCAAGAAGTATGGGCACACTGAACAAAAATGGGAGGGATTTTGTGGAACATGCCTTCACATTCGACACTTCTAGTGTTGAGTAAATTCCTCCAATTCCTATTCTTCCAAAATGGGCTGTAATAAAAAAAAAATGCTTGGTATGCTCATTTCACAAGTCTAGAACGAATTAATTTCTCAACGACAACCATTGACAAACCGACCGCATGGATATACTCATGAATTCGTGTTTTTTTCCCACTGCAAATTCAAGCGTCAAAGTATCATTTTACTGCAGACATTGGAATCGATCGTCATGGAAGTCTGCTGTTGAAGTTATCAGAATACAAATAAAGGAATTGTGACCGGAAGTGGATGCATACACAATCGTAGTGGGGAAAATTTCGGGGGGAGTGATCGATAAGGTTTATCCTGATGCATTGCAGGGCCGATCCTTTCTATCCTGCGCCACAGTTGTCTCCGATTGCCCATGGACACTCCACACCGGGCACACTCGGCACTCATCCATTGGATGATGACTTTGAGGCTAACATGCTTTGCCAATTCGGCAGCGCGAGGGTTCCTGGCCTAGATCGCTGGAATGTTGGTGACACGATTGCATTCAGGAGCAGGTCGATTCGGGAGAGCGATAACAATGAAATTTTGAGTTTGTAGTGACCGCTCAATCGTCAATTTGCAATTGGGTGTCGACTGGAAGCAGATCGACATGGCGGAGTTGCTCCAGCAACGCTTTTGCAATGCCGGAGAATGGACGAGCCTCCGGCAACAGTGTGCTTGCAGCTTGTCGTCGCGGTGGTTTCACCCGTTCAATGTAGCTCTCAAGCGGCGCTCTCAAAGTTCAGGGATCCTGGGTGTGGGGCATTCCCAGCCACGACAGAGTTTTGAGCTCCGAGCATACGCAAAGAGGTACGCTGATGGGTTTTTGAAATTGGGTGCGGAGAATGCAGCTCCACCCCTGCATCTGGACATGGCGGTGAATTCCTTGTGACTTTAGTACTAAGAATTCGGGAACGTACATGTATGGGAGCATCAGAGTGTCCGAAGTGGAAGTGGACAAGCAGGCCAGGACGGCGGTTGTGGTAGGCGGAGGATGGGCGGGCTTCGGCGCAGCACACGCTTTAACCAAGCTAGGATTTAGTGTCACTGTCTTAGACGCCTCTCCTTCGCCCGGGGGGCTAAGTACAGGCTTCCGCACTGCTCAAGGTCGACCAGTCGAAGCTGGTATCAAGGGATTTTGGTGAGTACAATCTTGCTTCGCACCATACACACTCTGTGTTGCCGACTAGTATTTCGACTATGACGTTGGGTATGGTTTTCTTGTTGGCGTGATGGAGTACTCTTGATGATGCAGGTGGCAATACCACAATATTTACAGTCTTCTGAAAGAGGTCAACGTGGTACGCACCTCAATCTCTTTAATCTCTTGCTTATGGACCACCTGATTTACTGTCGAAGGCTCGTCTACTCGATGACGCGGTTTCGGAACCCTGTTTTTGAAAGATAGAGGGGAATTGTGATTGCGGACAGGTATGGCCGTTCACAGATTGGACGATGAGCTCCTTTTACTCACCAGAGGGCATTCAAGTAGAGGCTCCCGTTTTCAATGAACTCCCTCGCCTTCCGACTCCGCTTGGTTCTTTTTTGTACACTTCTCCGTATTTCAGGTTCATGATCACCTTCGTCCCACATTTTTCAAGAATTTTCAGCCGAGATTCTTCGTATCTGAGTATTTGTCCTCTGTTAGGCTTTAGTTGGAATTTTGCTCGTTTAGATGATCAATGGCTGCATTATTCTGTGCGATTAACCTCTCGGGTCCTGATTAAATATCCTCACCTTTTCCTGGGAGGCAGAAATTTGTCGGTGGTGGACCGCCTCACTGCACTTCCACTCATTCAAGCCCTTCTTGAATTCGACGCAGTATGATTACACGTCTCTGCTTTCTCCCTCACTCCACGGATGCTTCGTAATTGCAAGCATCTGAGGCTTCTCAGGCACCTTCAATTTATGCCCATCTCTTCTAGATCTGCTGTGCAGTCTCACACTACATTGAGTATTTTCGGAGATATCTGATCCTGTTATTCTGATCAATGGTTTCAAACCGTTCTCTCACAAGGTAGGAATGGATTTTAGGACGAGGAAACGTACGCCAAGTACGATGCAATGACAGCACGGGAGCTGTTTCGCAAGGCAGGAGTATCGGCAAAACTTTACCGGGACTTTTTGCAACCTATACTCCTAGTCACCCTCTTCGCTCCTGGGGAGCAGCTCTCAGGTACAACTTTTAAAAGTGATTTTGTCTGCATTTCAAGATGTTAAACTAGGACATTGTCAGTTCCTCGCTCACTCTTTTGTGGTTCTCGTATGCAAATGAGTTAATCAGCGGCAGCAGCTCTCGGAGCATTGTACTACTACGTTCTGGCTCATCAGGCAGACTTCGACGTCTGTTGGTGCAAGGGCTCAGTGGCAGAGGCTATTTTCAAGCCCTGGCTTGATACTCTGAACTCTCAAGGATGCCGCATGCTGGGAAACAACCGTGTAGTAGATGTTATCTATGAAGAAGAAAGCAACAAGATCACAGGAATTATTGCCAGTAAGCCTTCGCGTACACGATCATCACAACAGCTTTCCGCTGGCTTGCTTAGAACATTGTACTCTGCATTCAATTCCACCATGGTCTAGGAAGTGCTGGCTCAGATATTTGGAGAATTTCTATGGGTGCATCCTCGGCATGTGGAGTGTCCAATTTCATGAGTTTCTTCGAGTCATGTAGAGGTTAAAATTATTCACTTGTTTTACAATGTACAGTGGACGGCAGTGGGGAACGGACAGTATATGAAGCTGATGTAGTGGTCTTTGCAGTTGGGGTTCAAGCAATGCAGGTAACCCTATTAAAACCACACTATTGTCTTCTCTTGGGCCGTCTGTTAGCATATTTTATCTCAAGACATTTTGTGTAAGAACAGCATTTACTCATACTCTTCATTGTTTTTCTTAAGCAACTGCCAAAGTTCTCATTTCAACCGATTTATGAAGCAGAGAATCGTGGCATCGTCTCCGGCCTTGGCAGGGCGTGAAGAGTTTGCAGGGATATCAAATCTGGGCACTGTTGACGTCCTTGCAACTCGGTTATGGCTCGATCGGCGTGTTCCATTGAAGAACCCATCCAACGTGCTGGCGGGGTTTGAGCCCACCACGGGGGCAACACTCTTCAACTTGAACGCTTTGCAAGTACTGATCAAACTCACCATCTCCACGAAGTGAAATCTCTCGACATGGGTCAGCAATCCGAGAGCACGTTCTTTTCGCTCTTGAGACCAGCGGAGGATTCTAAGTTGACTCAAAAAAAAAAAAAATTGAATCTCTGTTGTGCAGGGTGAATTTGCCGATGAGCCGGGGAGTGTTCTGGAGCTAGACTTCTACCACGCTAACCAGCTGCTTCCACTTTCAGACGACGCAGTGATTCAGAAGGTGATGAAGGATTATCTGACTCGATGCGAGCCACGCTTTGCAGGCGCACAAGTGGTAGACAGCAGTGTACTGCGATTTAAAAACGCGGTGACGCTGTTCGGACCAGGCTCCCATCAGCACATGCCCTCGACCACGACCAGCTTCCAGAATGTGTTCATGTCCGGTGACTGGTTGCGACAGGGACCTGGAGCGCATGGCGCTAGGGGCCTGTCGCAGGAGAAGGCCTTCGTCACGGGGTTGATCGCGGCGAACGCTGCTGCGGCCAGCGTGGGGCTGCAAGCTCAGGTGGAGATTCTCGCAGTGGACGAGGATGAGGCCCACATTGCCGCGGGCAAAGCCGCCGTGCAAGGCGCGCGTCGTGCCGCTCTTGCCTTGGGCCTCACATCCCCTTTCTTGTAAGCTGAAGCAGGGCAGGAACGGGCAGAGAAGAAACGGGCAGGGTAGGAACGGGCAGGGGAGGGAAGGGCATATCCCTTTACTTGTGATGAGATTCTAACATATCTTTGTTAGATCAATCTTGTGTTGTGTAGCATGGAAAGGTGCAATCCACTTGGTTTGGTGAGGATTCTGGTCAATTTTTTCGCAATCTTTTAAGAATGTTTTAACATGGAAAAATCTCACGAGAACAGCTGAGAATTGTAAAGGCTTGTACTGAATTCCTTTCCGAAAGAGTTGTATGAGTGTTGGATGCAAATTTCTTCTGTTGAGAGATGAGAGCAGGACTCTATGAAGAAGCACTTTTGATGTGAATAATGTATAATTAGAATTTGAACCCATCTCAAGTCTTACTTTGTGTAATGCACATTAAAGAAAATAATATTTAGAATAAGGAATATATTGGAATACTATGTATGTATGTCTGTATGTATGTGTGTTGTTTGTAAAAACACACAGTTCACAAAATCTGATAATATATGAATAAAATAAAATATAACATGTTAATTATATTATTTTCAAATTTTATTTTTTAGACATATTTTTACATATTGATTAAAAAACACAGTATGATTTTCTTTTGATAAATTTGAAATATTTTTATATTTATATTTCAAATTTGATTTTTTTTTTTATTTTTAAAAATCCTAAATTCAACAAAATTTATTTCATAAGTTATATATGTTGGTACCACATTTTTTTCTATTAACATTGTTTAATAATTATTACCATTTCATACTAAAAAAATACAAATCATGCCAATTTTCTCAAAATCACAAGCAAACACTTTGTAAAACCAAACTACTAATAATGTAGTTAGAGCGACTTTTGAAACCTTGAAAGAAACTTTAGAATTTTATAGAAGAATAAAATCCTTGCACCAAATTGCACCAAATAGCTGTAGAATTTGTTTTTGAAACCATTAATAATTTTATAACAATAATAAGAATCATGATTCCTTTTGAAATATTAAAAGACTTGTAAAGGTTACAAAGCAAAAAATAATTCTTTAATATATTGTATTCTTTGAGATTTTTTAAATATATGTACATACATTCTTTTTTATTTTTCTTTTCTAATTTTTCATCTTATCTCAATTTTAGAAAATTTATATTAACCAAAAAATAAAAATAAAATAAATACCAACAAAAGCAACTTCAATCCTACATTGTTGCCAAACAAAGAATTCCATTGATTTCTTTAGTAGACCAAGAACAACCATTAATAAATAATAGCATTAAAAATATAAAATAATAATAAAAATAATACTTTTAAGCATCAAATATGAACTTATATCATTAAAATATCAATTGGATTACTATTTAATTATATCTAGTTCCAAGAAATTTATATAATCCAATAGAGTTTATATTCATATTCTATTATTATTCTCCTCATTTTTAAGTAAATTTTACCTATCCATTCTCCTTATTTGATCTTTGATAATATGTCATGTATTAGATTTTCGACTTACTAATCTCTAAACTCACATGAAGTCTAGCATAGCAATTCTTTATGCTTAATGAAATTGGATGTTTCTATTCTATCTTGCAGCGTCCATCAAAAACTTCATTTGGTACATGATGTAAATCCAGGTAGTAAAATCATGTATTTCATCACCAAAATTTCATTCATTGCTTATTCACTAACCTTACAAGCATCGCACTATTTCTAGAGTTTGTCTGCCAAACATCCTTGAAGGGATTCACACAAATATTGACGATAAAGTTGCTTCTTTACATTCTTTTTAATAGGGTGTTTTTGAAGGAATGAAAGCTATTGTATTGTATTGCATATTGAGATAATGATAGATAAAGTTATTAAAATAGTATTAATCGAAAAGAAAGAGTTAGTATCAAATCATGGACAAAATCATAGAAGCATGGAAAAAGGCCGTTGGACTTTGTGGACAAGTCATGGAGGATTTTATTGCAATCATTTAATAAAAAGAATAGCAAAAAACTTCTTGGAGCTCTTGGTTGCTTAGTACAAATGATAGTTTAGAGTTAATAAATTAAGTTGGAGTCAACATCATAACAAAACTTTCATGTTAGGAGCTTATGAAGCTAGCTTTTAACTTGAAGTTCTTTTCTTAAGCTAATTGTATCAATGTTGTACTAAATTATATTGAAGTATTCATATAGTCAAGATTAGAGTTTATATATGTGGATTTTTATTTGCAAATATAGGTTGATAATAGTTACTTGAGAGGAACAGACTCTTGATGTTCTTCAATCATTCAATGACCAAAGTACTTCGTCTTCATCTTGCAGATGCAGAAGTCTTTGGAACCATCTACAAATGGGCCTATAAAATATCCAGTTGGATATGAACCTATGGCATCAAGATAATTGATAAAGAATATCAAGCACATGGTTTTGAAGTTGTTTTGTGCATCATACTAGCAAGCTTTCTTATTAAAGATAATATAATATATTGAATTGGCATCTTAGGTTGCATCTATTAGACATGCTGTTTTTACATCCTCATACAAAATTTTGGAAAAACCAATTGGAAAGTATTCTGAGCCACATGCAAGAGCTAGTCAATGGACTTGTGTACAACCACGCATCATCAAAAACAGAAACTATAATAGTAAGACGAGCCCTTTGTTAAAGAATTTTGAAGCTCTATTGACTATTGGAGTAGTTATTATAGAATATTTAGATTTAGTCTCTTAGAGTCTTATCTTTGTGTTAATCTTGGCCTTCAATGAAAAACTAGAAATATGAATGTTAAGGTTGACAAAAGACATTTTCAACTATATTTGTACACTTCACTTCAAAAAAACTATGAAAAGATCTTTTCACAACCAAATAAATATTGCAATTGAAATATTGTAGTATGAAAACATTACAAATAATGAATGTTAGAATTTAGAACAAGATAAGTATCTGAACATATATTTGACACAATGAAATTAAGCCAAGGAGGATATCAAATAAACATTGAGATTTCAAATACATGAAAGAAGTTAAAAGAAGCTGGGGATAATGATATTAGAGCATGTTATTTACATACACAGTAGCATTAAAGCAAAGAATTACTATTTCTAGAAAAAACTAGAAAAATAAGAAGAACTATTCCAAGCCATGCCACAAGCCTTGACATTGAACCGGCCAATAGTTTCAATTCTAGACTCTCTCAAAAAACCTTTAATGAGTGGATTATCAATAACAACCGAAGAGCCTCTAATATAGAATGAAAAAGTAACTTTGCATCTAAAAAAAATAGACAAAGGAAAAAGATGAGGCCCCTTATGAAATGAGTTGATGTAGTAGTCAATGCACCTAATACAACTACTAATATGAATATCACCATTTATGAGCTACTTCTCAACACCTTCTCTGTTGTACAAAAGTTGAAGCATCTGATCTACGTTCAAGGGCCTTGGTTATCTCAGAGTATGATTGAAATTCATCTACTCTATTGTAATAAACTAGAGTTTATTCATCTTTATTTTATTTCTTAGAATCCGATAGAGGTGAGCTAAGAAGAAAAATTCATCATGTAGAAATTTGCCAATTACAAACTTGAAATAAAACTATTGATCTGCACTCTTTTGTAATATTATTTGAAGTACAACACAGTCATCCTTTAGATTTGAGGTTAAATAAATATAGATCCATAGATATCACAAATTATATCCTATCAACCAAATTGGCTAGTAGCCATCATTCTAATTATGTTGCAAACTTGAAGATAATTTATGACTTTTACATTTTTGTAATAATTTCTAAGGACCATATCACTCCTAACGTTTGTTGTAGAAATTTTCATAGAGTAAACCTTTGCAATCACTTAAGAAGCAAAAGAAAAAATTATACTTTTTGCAAGTACTAAAATACAGACATAAAATACACTACAACTATTTTTACCACATGGCAGTTGTGAAAAACTAGAAAATATAAGAATGCTAAATGAAATTTGTACATGTCTATACAACCAAATAATCAAATGATTGAAGGAAAATTGGAAACAATATGGACATTTATTTATAATTTTACCTCAAAATTATGCTGAATTTCACATGGTTGTTGTTTTTAATCAACAATAGTGCTGTCATCTTTTAGTGTGCATCTTATTTCATAACTTATCCACTTAAAAATATATCCAAATAGGGTTGCATGTCTATCTGTACAAATAAAGGTGGCATGATATTCAACTATATATAATGTTTTTATCAACTAAAGATGTCAAAACTTGATTGCTTTGCCACAAGTCTTAATTCTAAGCTAATTATATCAACTATAGAAGTACAACAAATAATAAGCATTTAAAGAATCTTCTAGTGAAAATAATTAGATTGAATTGAATTATAAAATTAATGCCAAAAAAATATTATCAATATTGGGTAATCAAGCTCAAAATATAGGATTGATATAATCCAATTGTATATATAGTCATGGTTCATAAACAACTTATTTCAATAAATTATATACAAGGCGTAGAAAGAAATACAAAATAGCATTAATACAACTAAGTAGGCTTAGAACTAATAAGATGGTCTAAGCCTTGTCCAATCATATATATTATTATAAATTCAAGGTCTACTCATAAAACACAATGTTGCCTTAAACTTATGTCATTGAAAATAAGACTAAAATCTTAAGCATATGTTTTGAAAGAAAAAAAATACAGTTGTATGAGGAACTCTTTTGATCAATTAAGGATCTAACTACCAAGATGATATAATAGCCAAACTTTGTAATTAAAAACAAGGCTATTATTACTTGTAGAAAATCCAATAAGGAACAACAAGAGATAAAATAAATTTAAAATATTGTCTCTTTGGCCAGAATATACAATGATTACTAAAATTAAGTATGAAATTAGCTTGGTTAAATTTAACAAACAATGTAAGTAAATTAGATGTAATAAAAATAAAACCATAAATTGCACAAGATTAATATTATAGTAAATCATACTTCTATGATAATTAAGTCTATTAAATTTAAGTATATATATATATAAAAAATTAAAATGAAGTTAGGTCCAAAATTCAATATAGCTCACATTAATTGAAATAAATTTAAAAATTTGTCTACATTTTAAGGACAAGAACTCAATAAAAGAAAATAAATAAGTGAGACTCTTTCAAAGAAATATGAAAAAATAGAAATAAAAAAGTATGTATATTAAAAAATAAATAAAAAATAGAATAGCTATTGCCAAAAGATATGAAAACTAAAGACTCTTGAAACTAGATTGGAAACAAGAAAATTACAATGTCA